TTAAGGAGAAATGTATCGATAAAATAAATGTTGGTGGCAATGCAGATAAGATACCCCTAATGCTGTTGAAAATGTAACTGCTGCACTCCACCTCATTTGGTGATGTCATCCTGAAAGTATTGAGGTGGTCTGATCGAGGTCGGTATAGAATATGTTCTCACCAGCGACGTGCAGTCAGGGGAGGCAGGGGAGGCAGAGCCTCACCTGTCATACTCCAATGTAACGGAAAAACAACTAAAGAAAAACTAAATAGTAATAATAATAAAATGTCTCCACTGATCTGTGTTGTAAGTGTGATTTATGTATGATTCTAATCACTTTTTATAGTCAAAATCAGCAAATTTGCCGAGCTCCGCTACGGGAGCGATGAGAAGTGAGGCAGGGACATGCTCTGCCTCTCGTAAGCCCACAGTAACTTGCTGGAGCGCGGGCACTAATTTAGCGCGGGCACTTATTTTGTGAGCGCGCTCAAGCCAGTTACTGTGGGGTGAGGTGAGGCACAGATGAGCTCTGCCTCACTTCAGAATGCGTCACCCCACAGAAACTGGCTGGAAAGCGGGCCCTAAGCGCATGCCTGTTACCATCTCACTGTAGGTCACCAATGTAATGTTTGTAGATCCCTTTATTACATTTATCCTCGCCATCCATAGTCTCTAAATAACTTATTTCACGTATATATGATATTTAGGCTCACTGGTCTCAACGGCAATGAAAAAAGCACCAGGGGAGGCAGCCATAACCTCAGCCGCACTGAAGGGGGCGCACGTCAGCCCACAGGTTCTTGTTGCTACTGTTATTCTACGCAGAGACGGTAGACGCAAACAACAAGCTAGACTTTTGAAACTACAGGAAGATAAGGAGGACTTTTACAAAAAAGTAATAGAGATTGTTGTCCAGAAGGATAGCATGGACTTCATCTTCAAGTCAAGGTAAGACCACATTTGTAATGAACATGGGATCTTACTAAGAAAGAACAATCCAATATTTAGATTTTGGGTATCCTTTTGTTGAACGGTCTGTTTAAAATGAATCGAAGCATCAGACTAAAAAAGCTTTTGAAAATAACCGAATATTTCGATTAAGGTCAAAATATAATATTTGTAAATCTGACTCTGAAAGAGTCAGATTTATGGCTGGTGAGTCACTGACTCTGAAAGAGTCAGTGACTCACCAGCCAAGAACCTCACCGCACATCACTGGTTCTCACCACTTGATGAAGCCTTGGCAGTTGTGTTCTCTCTCTTGCATTGTAGGATAAATATCACACAAATCAGCAAATAAACAGCTGTTTTTAGAGTACTGTACAATACTGACAACACTGTGGTAACAGGTTTTCAGCACAGAGATTTGTCACGAAGCTTCAATCTAGCAAAGTAACTGTAAACCCCCTTACAGCTGTCATTGAAGTCATTTTAAAGCACTTACCACAGACACGGCACTAAAATCCACTTTGCTGAGGTTTTTGAGAAAGAAAACATTTTCAACAAATGTGTTAGTCTTTAAAAGATACACAATATGTGTTGAGGGAATTAATTGTATTAAAACATAGAGCTCTCAGTCTTCTGTCCGCCTCTGATTAGGTATTATCTATTCCTTTTGTCTTTGTGTTTCCCTTTTTTAATTTAACTTTGAATTTGAATTCATGGTTTGTAACGGTTTGGTTAATATTAAAATACACTGTAATGCCAGTGGTGTAAAGTACATTTACTCAAGTACTGTACTTAAGTACAATGTTGAGGAACTTGTACTTTATACTACATGTTTTTAACATGTTTTTATAAACTTTACAGATGTGGATGAATGATGTGAAATCTAATCAAGTGTTAAATCAGACTTTAGTTCCACCTGGAGTAAATTCACCAGCTACCCTGCAGTATACAAAGTCATTCAAACTAGCTGCACCTTTACCAGCTTTGAGAACACTTTCATGATCAATCATTATAAAACATATCATATATATTATTCTGAAATGGACCAATCTGCACAATCACTACTTTGACTTTTGGTACTTATTCACTTATTTTGATGCTAATACTTTTCTACTTTTACTTGAGCAACATTTCAAATTCAGGACTCTTACTTGTAAAAGAGTAATCCTACACTCTGGTACTTCTACTTTTACTTAAGTACAAGATGTGAGTACTTCTCCCACCTCTGTGTAATGCTGATCTGTATCATGTAGGCTTGATTGAAATGCAGTTTTCAAACCCTGAGCTCAGAGCAGCAGACTCCTGAAGCTCTTACCTCAGCGCCCTGTCTCACTGCCTCACGCTGTCAGACAGGTTCAAGTGAATCATTCATTAATAATAACACACAGTTTAAACAATAAACCACAATCACACCTTTATCAACAGAGAAGAGCAAAGAATGTATGGGCTCAAAAACATGAACATGTATTCACTGTAAAATAGTCTGTGCAGGATTGTATAGTGTCATTACATGTGGCATATCTTATTGTAACACATTATCAGTCACAGTGGGAACGTTTTGGTACTGTTTTTCAGCATTGCTTATATTTGGCCTGAAGACCTTTGCATTTATATTCCGGCAAGTGATAGGGGTGTGCCAGCTCCAACACCTCAGTATTTTCTTTCACTGCATGGTGTTTGTGCCAAAGGAGATGGATACATGACATATCTGATTATCAGAATGTCTGACGTCATTCGGCCATCGCCATATAACACATAATCTTTGTGACTTGAGCTATAGGGAGCAATAAAAACATTCAGGTCATGCTGTAGAGATGTTTGCTTCAAAGGACAATTGTACCACTTCACTAATTGCTTTCAATCAATACTGAGAGTAATAACCGTAATATGAAGAAGACCGAGATGTAATGAAGATCACCATGGGCAAACAACACAAAAACAAATCACATTATGTTTCTGGACATGCAATTACTCAAATTCCTCCAAATCAAAGCTTTGTTGAGGTTTACTAGTAACATGTTTGTCAGGGTAGGATTGGGAGCATTCAGTAGGTTCTGTAGGTGCCTGGACAGATGGAAAGTGCGTACAATAACTGCGTTGAACAACCCTCAAAATGCACCTGCAGCTTTATGCAGCAGCACCTGCAAAAAGTAACATAGTCATGTGGTTTTGCAGCGGCATAATAGACTGCACACTGCCTCTGTGTGTAGTGAGTCTGATCTCCTGAAAATGATGTTTCAGTTCAACGTGGCTGCATGGTCACTTACATTTAGATGGTGTTCTGTCTGATCGCTGTTTTGATGTATCAAAAATACTTTAAACACATGACTCTCAAATAAATAAACAATAAAGGGGTTAAAACCTGAGCCTCAAACTTATCTTTCATAGTGTTGTAAATCTTTTAGATGGAACAGATAACATATATTCTGACACTTCAATAATATATATTTACTAAAAGGTGGAGTCCTGTTGTAACTGTACTAATACAGTGAAGCCATCCTAATTCCCCCTTACTTTCTGTGGTGTGTGTGTTGTTGTTTTTGTTTCTATTCTCAACCTTAACCACTCGTTTAAAACCGCGACCATGATCCCAGGAAAGATTTGTCTCCTTGGAAAAGTCACATAGAATGCAGCTTAGTTGAATGGGAACATCATGTTTTATGTGACAGGATAGCACTAAATGATTGTTTGAATTAGCACAGTTTCTCAGAGTGAGGATTCTTTGATTCATTCTGTCTGGAAAAGGTGTGGAATGCCTGTCTTTCCTCATGGCACAGTTTTAAAGCTTTCTTTGAAATGAAATACAGAGTCAAATCCCAGGTCAAATGTACATTAGAGGGTCTTGAGCATGTTTCTCTAAATATGTGTCTTTGTTGATGTTGTAAATAAAGCTGCTGTGATGCAAGAAAATGTTTAGACTTGGTCTGTTAATAAAGTTGTATTGTATCGTATCGTATTCTTCTCTTCTCATTCTTCTCAGCAGGAGCCTGTCTTGGCGTGTGATTCAGTGAAAAACTGTGACTGCTGGAAGGACTTTCTGAGTGCTCATTTAAAATGTAGTACATTTCAATACTGTGGAAAGTATTTAAGTTTGTCTGATGTATTAGTTTAAAACGTTACTAGTTCCTCACCAGCTGCTGTTGTTACACATGTCATGCTGTTGTTAAGCTCATATCTTTGGTGTTTGTACTGTAGATTATTCAGGTGTTCACGTTGTCATGTCTACCTCCTGTGTGTTTGAAATATGTTTCTCTTTTATTGTGCCTATCACACCCCCCTGTGTCCCAGAATGCCCCAGTCAGCTCATCACTTATCTCCATCAGAAACAACAAGCTGCTGGCTGAGGAACGTCATGATATTCAATGGTCAGGGCCGCTGGGAAACAAAGGACAGAGATACAGTGATCAAAGCTGGGAATGAGGACACACTGAAGCTGAAACGCTGACTTTAATTACATGTATTATGTCAACACATTTCACATGACTGTGAGAGTAATATTATTACATTTAAATAGGTTCAATTTCATATTATTGCTTTCAACTTATCTAGTACAGTTATGTGAAATGTGTTGACTTGATACATTTAGTTCAAGTCAAAGTTTCAGTTTGTCAGTGCAGGAGAGTCTGTGGCTACACCATATGATTTCATAATCTTTTGTCTTGATATTGTGGAGTAGTCATTCAAAATACATCAACTCTCACAAAGTGCCACACGATTATGATTTTCTTCTTTTTCGTTTACAAAATGATGATGTGCTCAAAGTGATGTCAACACAATAGTCATGCCAATATTTTGAAACCAAAAACCTATCTGGAACCAGCTAATGTCTTACAGGCTGAATAAACTATTATTTGCATTTGTTGAATGATCAAATATTGATTTTGAGTTGAAGATGAGTTAATGATATATGAATTACTGATTTCCATGACAACCATAACAATAAGACATCTAAACAATCAAAGGTGACATTTGAGGACTATGATCTACAGGTCATTTCGGACTTCAGACTCTGCAGGATCTTATCAAAACCTTCTCTAATAATCATAACATTTATTACCCCAATGTATCAAAGGCAGCTACACCTCCCCATCTCTCTGGGTAAAATCAAATGTATAAAAAGCCTAACATTGCTGTGGTTGGTCGGGTCTCTGGTCCAGTCTAAGGTGGGTCTAAGGACAAACAATGCCTCTAAATTCAACATTTGTATCATGATGATCTAAAGAATGGTAGCTCTCTTTTGTTAATGTTGTAATTGACCTTGTTTACTTTTTGTCTCCTATAGTAATCCAGTGAATTTGTGAGAAGTGAATTCAAAATGACCAGGCTCACAATTCTAGCAGGTAATTCATCTTCACTTTCCAACTATGATATCTATAATACTGTCATCCTGATCGTTCATAATATTATTTTTCTATTTTGGTGTATTTGTACAAACAACAATTACTTCTCTCTTTGTTTTCTTTTTGAAGCATATTCCATTCATTTCACCAGTTAAAGGATTTTTCCTTATCCGAATCAAGTTAGACAGAGGGTGCCATAAGATGCACAGATTTTAGAAGTCCTTTATATGCAAATGTGTGATATTGAGACATACAAATAAAGTTGACTTGTCTTGACTTAATGTATATTTTAGATGTATAGTCTCACTGTTTCTTTTATTTATTCCTTAGGGTTATGTCTGGCGATATGTCAACTGGGTAAGTCCTAATACTTTTTGATCAGCAAGACTTATTTGAATTGGATTTTCACTTGCATAACATTACTGGAATCAACGTTTCTTCATTCTTCCTTTACTCCACCACAGGATCCGCCACCCAGATGATATGCTACTTTACCAACTGGTCCCAGTACAGACCTGGTCAGGGGAAGTACACGCCACAAAATGTGGATCCCTTCCTGTGCACCACCCTGATCTACGCCTTCTCCATGATCAACCATGCCAACGAGCTGGTTACCTATGAGTGGAATGATGACGTCCTCTACGAGTCTTTCAATGGACTGAAATCAAAGTAAGTGGCCAGAGTTGAGAGAGGTCAGAGGTCAGGCTAAGATGCAGTGGCTCTGGCGTTAGCAGACGTTTTGTTCCATGCACAAGAGGCCTTTAGCAGCTAATGCTAGCTGAAATGGGGACTTTGCTAAAACAATGATTCCAGTCCAGGGATGTTCTGTAATGTAAAATGTAAAGGCACAACTTGAGTCTCTGATACCCTGTTCAGTAACAAGAAATTACAAGATTGAAACAAATGGGGTGGAATTTGGAAATATAGTATTGTCTTAACCTACCCTCTGTCCTGTTTTCAGAAATCCTCATCTGAAGACTCTTCTGGCTGTTGGCGGGTGGAACTTTGGTTCTACACAGTAAGTCATATTTTAAATCCGGAACCCAACTAATAACATGAGAATAGAATAGAATTGGGAGGGATGAAACCCCTCTTTAATGGTCACACATGCAGAGCACACAGCACACACAGTGAAATGTGTTCTCTGCATTTAACCCATCCTAGAACCAGGAGTCTAGTACTAGGAGCAGTGGGCAGCTATTGTACTGCGCCCGGGGAGCAATGGGAGTGAGGGGGGAAGGGAGGTGTCCGGTGCCTTGCTCAAGGGAGTTATGTTACTGGTTCTCTAACCACTACATTATTCGAACCTTAAGGACATGTATTGGTCTAGTTTCTTCTTCCATATGTGTATGTTTATTTAAAAAAAGCAATGATGAATAGATAACCAGATAAATGAAAACCATCATATATGTATATTGATTAATCTTTGTTCAGTTTTGGATAGTGTATGGTAACTAAACCCAATCTTCCATGCAGGTTCTCTGTCACGGTGTCCAATCCAGCCAACCGCCAGAAGTTCATCCAGTCTTCAATCAAATTCCTGAGGACTCATGGGTTTGATGGTCTGGATCTGGACTGGGAGTACCCTGGATCTCGTGGAAGTCCTCCTGAGGATAAAGAACGGTTCACTCTGCTCTGCAGGGTGGGTCTCCATTTATCTTGCTCTAGTTTGTAACTGCAGCTACAATTCGAATGTTTACATCATGTTGACTTTCTGGTTTGTGTTTGCAGGAGCTCAGGGCTGCCTACGCTGCTGAGGCCAAGGCCACCGGCAACCCTCAACTCATGGTGACTGCTGCAGTGTCTGCTGGGAAGGGAACCATCGATGCTGGATTTGAGATTGCTGAAATTGCCAAGTGAGTGTTCTGTCTTGTATGAAAAGGAAAATCCTCTTGAAAGGAAAACTGGGAGTTCTAAGAAGGCTTCTGAAATGATTTTCTTGTGTTTCCCTATCCAGGGAACTGGACTTCATCAATGTAATGACCTACGACTTCCATGGAACTTGGGACAAGTTCACTGGACACAACAGCCCACTGTTCCGCGGATCCATGGACACTGGTGAACTCATCTATTTCAACACTGTAAGTACATTTCGGAACTAAAGAAGAAAAGTACCTTCTTTAAAGGTTTTACATCATCTCTTATTTCCTTTTTGTAGCACTTTGCCATGCAGTACTGGAAAGAGAAAGGCACCCCAGTGGAGAAGCTGATGATGGGTTTCGCTACCTATGGTCGTACCTTCCGTCTGACAACATCAGAGAATGGTGTTGGAGCTCCAGTTAGTGGCCCTGCATCAGCCGGACCATACACACGTGAAGCTGGATTCTGGGCCTACTATGAGGTACAGATTAGATAAGGCTTGAGTAAACCCATTATGATGTACAGTATATATCATTTACAAAAACTATGGTCTATGGTCTAGATATGTGGCTTCCTGAAGGGCATCACCATTCAGTGGATTGAAGACCAGAAAGTTCCCTATGCCACCAACAACAACGAGTGGGTGGGATTCGACAACAGGGAGAGCTATGAGACCAAGGTAGGTGGCACATCAGCTCTATATTCTAACATATTCACACCAAATCCAAAGTATTTCCATCAATTTATTTTGTATGTTTGCCCCAACAGGTGCGTTACCTGCAGAAGGAGAAGTTTGGCGGTGCCTTTGTGTGGGCCCTTGATTTGGATGACTTTACAGGACAATTCTGCGGAGAGGGCGTCAACCCTCTGCTGTCACATCTCCGAAAACTTCTTAACATTGGTAGGTCCAAAGCATTTTAAAGCAGTTAGTAAACTATGTTCAAGACAGATACTAATCTTTTTGGCTGCCATTTAAACCTTACTGCTGAGTTTAATCTCATATTCTCAGAGTTTAAGTCATAAAGTCTTATTTTAACAGGCATCAGGTTTGTCGTCACGAAGTTGGACAGCAGGTATCTTAAGGGCCTATAAAGTTTGGATGAGATGTCATATTCTGAAAAGAAAACCTGTCTCTTACTAATACTATGGAGTATTTGCAGTAGTAAAGTAATGTACAATGTTGTCTGGATTATTCATTAAGTCATAGTCACGTTATAGACACACATTAATAGACATGTATTGTTGCACTCAAACCCTTCTAACTCTTCTACTGCTACCATTTAGAACTGCCCCCACTGCCCTCCACCACCACCGCCAAGCCTGGTGCTAGCACGACCTCCACCACCACCACAACCACCACCACCACCCACGCCCCAGGACCTGGCTTCTGCAACGGGAAACCTGACGGCCTGTACTCCAACCCAGACGACAAGAACAGCTTCTACTCGTGCGACAGGGGCGTCACCCACCCGAGCCACTGCGGAACGGGAACTGTCTTCGATGACAGCTGCAAGTGCTGCAACTGGCCCTGAGCCCCCAGTGGAGGCAGAGTGCACTACAACTGATGACAACTAATAGACAGAATGTTAAAGTTCTATTGTATCCACTGTGTGTACAATCATTGATCTGAGACTATCCTTAGTGGTGTATTGATACATTGCATCTTGTTAAATATGTAACATACAATGCAGATTACAAACAGAAGCATCAAGTATTATAAATTGTGATGACTCGTCATTTCAATATACAGTACATATTCATTTTAAATGTATTACTTTGCAAAATCTATTTTCTATATATCTAACAATGAAGAAGAGCATCTAAACTGCAGAGTTTAGTTTAATCTTGACACCAACAGCTGTTCAGGAACTTTGTACAAATAAACCAAGAGGGGGTAACCATGTGACCCACAATGTAACACTCTTATGTCCCCGCTACAGGTACAGAGGGCCAATTCCAAAAAATTAATGAATTTACCATGTTTATATGATGACAGGTTTTAACTGAATTATATATGGCATTAATCCAGGCTCTTACATCAAATGCTCATACAGTATTTTACCTTTTGTTGTTTCTTAGTCAGACCAGCGGTGAGTAATCACAGCACCACATGCAGTTGAGACTGCGGACATGATTATTATCATAGACATGATTATTGCCCTGATACTGATGGGATACTTTGGGTCAGTCAGGAATAAAGAGAGGTTCAAACAGAGGGAGGGAACCTTTCACACTCATTCATAGTATATGAAAGCAGTTGAACATAGTGATCAGTTAACCCACCAGAGCCCAAAGAAATACAAAAACAAACTTCACTGTCGTTGATAAGTGAAAAAGTTGGTGTTAAAGGTCACTGAGTCACTGGTCGTAAGAGGCCTGCATGTTTTTAGTGTGTGTTGATTTAAGGATTTTTAACGAAAATTAAGAACATGTTGAGTAAACACTCATATCATTACCTAATAAAGTTACGATTGTATTAACAATTCTGATTATTTTTATTTTAAACACGGTGCATAGCTAGTTACATAGCCAGCATTCAGCAAGGGCCTTGTTTCTCTCTACTCTGTAAAATGCGGAGGATCATGAGGCGGATTCACCAAAGCTCACAAACAGCATTTTGACAGAACAATCCCAGAATGCAGCTGATCAGGTTTCACCAAAACAGATTCTGACTGAGCTCCTCAGGATGGTATCAATACAGAAGAGTTATACTGTGCTTTTATTGCAACAAAATCATGGACAGAGGAGCATACATCTTTCAAAATTCAAACAACAATTATCAGCCATTTAGGGCCCTAAACAACGACATAACATCAAGACAGTGATGGATAATAGAAGGTGCAGGCATGACATTTTATTTTCAAATGAGTTTTGTATTAAAATACTTTAGGTGATATTTTTGGAAGTAAGTCACACACACAATATCAGTCACATGATCCAGTCTACCCTGTTAATGGAGAAAAAAACGAATAATTTCACTAAGGATTTTTTTTTTTTTAAATATTATGACAAATTTGTAAGACAAATTCATTATAAACATTGTTATATAAATCGTAGGTTTTTAACAAGAATGAGGCGTCTCAGTGAGTTGATTCTCTGGTAAACTCCTCCACCTGCTGACAGACAGCAGGAATGGCTGCAGAGGAGGAAGTTGATTGTTCGGCTGTAAATAATGACTTTAGCAGTATCAGTATTAAGTCAGTAACACAAAAAAAGAGGATATTGGGTACACCGTAAAAGTAAAAAGTCAAGGCAACTGTCTGCACTCAATTTTTGGGTTTTGAGGCCAACTAAAATTCTTAAGTTTTAAGGAAAACTGTCTACTTTTGAGCCAACTAATAATCTTCTGTTGAGATAACTTATTCATATGTATTGTATGTTGAATTGTTTTGTTCTCTAGAATTCCAAATCGTGCCAGCTTAACATTTCTGTTTAGAAAATGTACCTTTTGTATGTTATAACTTCTAATTTTGAGTTTCACATTTTAATTGACAATCCTGGAGATCATGGCTGACCTCCAGGATTGAAGAAGCCTGGCATGGGAGAATAAATACCACTCTCTGGTGTGTATCTCCATGCGGGGTTGGATTCATTAACAATGTTAAGAGTTCATAAAGATTATATACTGATATTGCGTGATAACTTATCCATGTTGAAGTAGATTTGGCTGTTTTTAACAGTTAGATTTAGATAAAAGCATCATGGGATGAATATTTAGAGCCCGTCGACGAATCACAGATTAAGCAAGTTTATTTTCTACTTTTATTCTTTTTTTTTTTTAAACCATGAACTCGTCCTAATACTACCAAAACTGCTATAAGTTCTACTTGTAGCTGTGACAACACTTAATTTACTATAATATATATTTTCAAGACCTGCTCCTTCCTAAAAGTCCTGTGGGTCCATGTTCAGAATGTTTTTTACGCATTCAAAGGCAACCAGTGGGTCGGCTTTGATAACCAGAGGAGCTATGATGCCAGGGTACAGAATATTGGAAAAGAGGATATAATTCAACAGATCTGTCCACATGAGAGTTTCAGTATGATACCTCTGACTGTCTCACAGGTGGACTATCTGAAGAGCATGCAGCTGTGTGGACACTGGATATGGATTACGTTCTGGACAGTTCTGTGAACAGGGAAAATATCCACTGATATCCCATCTAAAGCATAAACTCAGTGAAGGTGAGGCTGCAGCAGGTTAATAATTTCGTAACGATGTCATCACTATCACTGACATGAGCCATCATGAACGAACTTATGCTAATCATAAATCTATCGAAAATTATAAAAGTATGGTAGACATGTGGATATTATCCGGCTGAACAAAACGTGCATTTATCTAACAGTTTCATTTTCCAGAGACCTTATTTCGAGCTATTTTCCAAAACCCTATAGAGAAATCCCATTGCTTTTTTGTCGAGGGAACCCAAGCACAGCTTACTTCCGGGTTTTACGACGCGTCACTGCACCACTATAACACACAGGGTGTTTCTCAATGTCGAGCTACCAAGCGCTTGCTTGGTAGCACATGTCTTCCGAGTCACTTGCTTCAGAAGCGAGGCAAGAATCCTTCCTAGCCTCGGAAAATGAAGAATTGTGGAACAGGCTAACAGGTGTGCAGGTGTGCGTCATATGCGAGGCCCCGCCTTAAATGGAGCGCGATTTCCGCCAAAGATTTGGAAATTGCTCCGTGCGCAAAGCATTGTGGGGATTTTAAGACCGCAGAGTCTACACATGTGCAGCCTCGAAATTTCTCGCTACGAAGTACGCCGGCCTCGGTAGAATTCCAAGTATGCTGGACATTGGAACAGTCCTTCGGCGGCACTCAATAGCCGCGTTCACACCAAGTACTTTGCCGTACTCAGTGCCGGCACTCAGTGCCCCGGCACTAATTACCCCAGGGCACTTAGTACAGATAGCGTTCACACCGGAATAAATTCCCTGAGGGAAGATTACGCAAATGAGCCGCTGACGTCACTTCGTCTTCTTCTGCTTTGGGTTTACTGGCAGGCCGCAAACAACTTCACGGCGTATACTGCCATCCGAAGTCCCCGGCCGGAAGTCCCCGGAGTTGGGGACTGGCTTCAGTAGAAGCTGCTGGGACTCCCAGCAGCTTCTACTGAAGCCTTCCGAGTAAATCGCCAGAACGCCGACACCTCCTCATCTCCACTGCTCCCATGTTTTATTTTGTGTTGCCATAAGTTAGACTCTCTGCATTGGTGCGCTGGGCGAATGCTAATGCTAATAATGCTAATGCGAGGATAATAAAATGGCGGCTCTACAAAACATTTCAGAGTTTTACGGGGCGTGGTTTGCAATTCGCCCAGCCAATCAGAACTGGGGCACTTTTTTCCCCCAGAAAAGTACCATCTCTCAGCAGGCACTAAAAATGGGGGTAAAAGTTCCCGAGATTAAGTACTCTTTTTGGTGTGAACGCGACATAAGGGGTACTAACGGAACTAAACGCGAAAAGTACGGTGAAAAGTACTCCGGTGTGAACGCGGCTATTGATGTAGTATGCTTGAAATAGTGGCTCTGGAGCAGCTTTCCTCGACATTGAGAAACACCCACATGCATAAACTTCACAGCAGGCGGAACTCGTCATAAAGTCCGCGAAAATAAAGCCCACCCATTTAGAGGGAAGATATGATTGGTCAATTGTACTGTCACTTGACATTACTCTCTCATTGAGTTACTATAGCGGGCCCTCTGTGAATTTACAGCAGGACCACCAATCAGCTCCTATCTTCACAGTAACTCGCAGAGACGAGCTTCTTTCATTTAACCCTTCACATTCCAACAGAAACTGAACAGGCAGATTCGAAGGATTTATTTCTTTGGAAATGTTATTTTAAATCCAATTAAATCAAATTATTGAAAAAAATATATATTTTAAAAAGAATGTTGTTTTTTTAATGTTTTCAAATGTAATTTTTTAGAATATCTTAGGCCCTCCGAGAGGCCCTAGAGGGCCCTGACGGCTCGCCACTGCTCTAAATTTGTTTTGCCCTGTTCTGCTTGAAAGCAAGTACCTGGCTGCCTCCTGCAAACTGTTAAAACAACAAACGCTTCAACTTGTACAATTTTGAATCTGTATTTTTGAATATGGATCTTAAGTTGGCGTGACGTTGAAGCAGAGACCCTGCTGTAGTTCGTTTATAGCATAACGCTAGCATTTTGCTTCTGGCGACTAGATTTATGATTAGAAAATTATAAAAGTAGGGTAGACATGTGGATATTATCCGGCTGAACAAAACGTGATCCGTCTCTTAAATGTGTGTCAACCACTGACCTTATTTCGAGCTATTTTCCAAAATTCTATGGAGAAATTGCATTGGTTTTTGACGAAGGAACCGGAAGGAGTTTACTTCCGGGTTTTAGGACGCGTCACTGTAGGAAAATAATATATTGGATGAATCACAACATTGTTTTGGCTGGAGTCCAAACTCCAGTTCAAACCTTTATATACAGTGCCTTGCGAAAGTATTTACCCCCCTTGCCATTTTTCCTATTTTCTTGCATTAAAACCAAACATAATATAATATTTTTGGGGGGATGTTATGGCAAGACCTCACACAAAGTCAGTCAAAATTGGTGAAGTGAAAGAAAAAAAGAGCACGTTTTAAAACATAACAAAAAATGTAAAACTGAAAAGTGGTGTGTGCATATGTATTCACCCCCTTTGCTATTTAGCCCAAACAAAGACCTTCAGAGTCACACAGTTATTTAAATAAAGTTCACCTGTGTGCAATCAAGTGCCTCATTATCTCTAATTATTATATTAATTAATTATTATTATACAACTGTTGTAGAAGGCCTCCGTCTTCCATACCACAGCAAGTGGCCTTTCTAAGCAAGAAAACGACACCATGAAGACTAAAGAGCTCTCCAAACAGGTCAGGGACAAAGTTGTGGGAAAGTATGAGACAGGGTTGGGTTATAAAAAAATCTCACAAACGTTGAACATCACGAAGCACCAAAAAATATGCCACGACAACAAACCTGCCAAGAGAGGGCCGCCCACCAAAACTCTCACACCGTGCAAGGAGAGCATTGATCAGAGAGGCAACAAAGAGGCCGAGGATAACCCTGGAGGAGCTGGTAAGCTCCACAGCAGAGAGAGGAGAATCTGTACATAGGACCACAGTAAGCCGTACACTCCACAGAGCTGGGCTTTATGGAAGAGTCGCAAAAAAAAAAAGAAAACATGTTTGGAGTTCTCCAAAAGGCATGTGGAAGATTCCCCAAACATGTGGAAGAAGGTCCTGTGGTCGGATGAGACTAAAATTGAACTTTTTGGCCATCAAGGTAAACGCTATGTCTGGCACAAACCCAACACCTCTGATCACCCTCAGAACACCATCCCCACAGTGAAGCAAGGTGGTGGCAGCATCATGTTGTGGAGATGTTTTTCATCGGCAGGGACTGGGAAGCTGGTAACAATAGAAGGAGTGATGAATGGAGCTAAATACAGGGAA